ACTGATTTTATCTAAAACTTTTTAGCAATCTTGCATTTATTCTCTATAATCATCTATAATTATTTTAAAGTGTTATTCACATACTTCTACTCGATTCAGTTCAAGTGTCATTGTGCATTCTGCCCTGCTATTTAGAATTGTACAAAACAAATTACATATATTACCCTGTTGCCAAAAATTAGCTTGCATTGAATTGGTTAAAAATAATTCAAGTGCATTTGTGCTTTGCGTATAAATGACAAATTGACTCTGTGCATCTTGATTAAGGGATCAAAGAAGTACTTTAAATTATTTGAATTTAAATTTATTTAGAACTCTAGACATTTTTAATTTTCTTTTCAACAGTTTAAAGATTATTACACTGTAATTTGTTGAGTAGCAATTTCTGTTGAGTTTGTCTTGAAGACATACTGGTATAAATCAAGTCCATCAACTGTTCTGGAGGATGACAATACCTTTGTCGATTGGTATACAGTAACTGGCAGTTGAAATAAAATGTCATGAACCCATTTCTATCATGGTAATCATGTAAGTATCCAACATTATTTCACTGTAGTATACGTCAATAATTTTATAACTAGAATTCATCTGTCTGAATCTTATATAATTCTTGTTTTATAGGAAAACAATGGACCTTCACTAACAGGACATTGGCAAATTCATTGTTTTACATTAATATTCCCTTGGTTCTTTCTGGACCTATCTGCAGTCTTTCTAGCTAGCTTCTGGTGCAGATCCCTCTGAAACCATCGAGCCAAGCACTTTTAAATGGTCTCTCTTCGACGATAATTATTAGTAGTAAAACGAACATCTGGCCACGACATGCCGAATGAGAAATGAAGAGAAGAGAAAAACGAGGAAGAAAAAAAACTGTGACGTTGATTTGATCGTAAATTGAGTTTTCACTAAATACCTGCATTTGAATGATGAATAATTTTTAAAATATCTTTTTCGTTTTTTTCTTTCATTTAATGGCGTTCCTGTCCTATTCTGAATGATGGAAAAAAATTTCTTTTTAGCAAAAAAAAAACATGGTTAAACGAGTTTGCACAATTAATGTTAGCGTTTATTACAGTTTTAGAATGATTATTTATTCAATTTTGTTGATGAAATACTTTTTTTGTAATCAATGAATATATAATTATTAACTACCTGGTAACATCTATAGATATTGTCAAATAAATCTATGTCTCCATCTATCTATATCTTGATAGACAGACGAAGGAATTTGTTGTTAGCAATGCTTGATTTATTTATTTATGTTAATTTACGAATGAGACTAGAGCATATTAGAAGTCTTTCTTCAATTATAGAAGCTTTCCTGTCATTTTTAATAAACTTTTAGCCCCTTTTAATCATTTCTCGTGTCATTATTATGCAATATTTTTAATCTAGAAATTCTTTATTTTTTATTAAAATACCAATCTTCATCTTCTCATTAAATTTGTTAAATATTTTTTAAATAAAATAATGAAAATATTTTTAATAAAGAAATTTAAAGTTTAAAAAAACTCGAGAATGCAAGTTCTGATACTGAATACTTTAGTTGGAATTTAAATAAAAAATTGAAGATAAAAAAAATATTTTCAAGAACTCGAAGATAAAAATAGTGTTAGATGAAGAATTAAAAGAAATTAAATAATAAAAAACTTTAAAATGTTGTTGGAGAATTTTTTTTAAACCTTTATCGATTGTTTATGATATGAAAGAAAAAATTTCATGAAATTTTATTGCTCATTTTGATTCGCAAAATCGTCTCGCATGAAACGACTTAAAATCGAGGATGTGTATCAGTGATAGAGGTGTATAGGGCGTAGCATATAGCAATGAAAAATTTCAGCGTGAAGGATGACTTAGCGAGAACGTGAAGACACTCACTGCTGCAGCCGTTCAATTTCTGGCGTCAATTAAAAAGTGACGCGGACCGAGAAAAATCGGTAATTAAGGGAGTGGTACCACCAGCTATGCCATCTGGCTAAAGTCTCTACTACCCCTTTTCTATTCCCTCTATCATTTTAACTTTATCAACTTTATATCTTGATGGCAGTGATAGCTTGATAGCTTATCGCTCATACACTTCTCGTACAACTGTCTAGCTTTGATTGATTAGTAAATATTCCATGATTTATATCGACTTTAAGAAACTCGTGTGTACTACCGTATAAGTTTCATAGAATTAGTTATTATTTTATGAACCTTTTTCATTGTAAATTTATATATTTCTGTCAAAGAAACTTTTTTTTTTAAAATGTTCTATTTCTAAAGATACAATTTAACAGGCTATTTTAAATAAAAAATAAATTATGAAGTAATAATAATTATGCAAAGTAATTTTTTTTTTAATTTTCACTTTTTAAAATTATAAAAATATGACAATAAATATTCTTATTAATAATTAAAAAAAAATTCTTGATTGTTTATAAACAATTATTATTTATATTTAATTATAATATATATTGTTTGTAAAAAAAAAGATGAGTTATTTTGCTGTCTCATATTTATGCTGAAATTGAATATTTTTAATTTTTAAAGTAAATAAGAAAGCCTTTAGGTTTTTAGGGGAAACTTGAGTAAATTGAATTTCTTTAATAATTTTGATGCAACAATATGAAAAAAATAAAAAAATGAACATCAGATTAACAATGTCTCATGTCATAATGATGATAAAAAATAAATAATCCTTTGAATATTTAATTTCGGAAAAAAAAAAGAATTTTGGTGATTTTTAAGGTCAATGTTGATATCACAATTACTTAAAAGAGAATTAATGTTACAAAAAAACAATCTATAACTAAAATTTTTTCTCATAATAAAATTATTCAAGCATTAATTTCAATAACAAAAGAAAATTCATAAAAACAAATTCTCTTTTCTTTATTCATCAAATAAAAATTATTTCTTCTTCAAAAAAAAGAAGTTTTCACACCAGTCATTAAATTAATTAATTACCATCATTGTGATGCAACAAAATCCACATTAAAAACCGATTTTATTTATTCCAAGAAATAATCATCGAGCTCATCAAAATGTGATATTTTTAATGAAAGATTTATTCTCAAATTCATAATCAACGTAATAAATAATTAAATAATAGAAACTGCCAATTTGAGTGGCAGAAGTGTGTGGTGTCTCGAACTTAAGAATCTCTTCCAAGTTTTTATAGTGACGTTCCCTCCTTTTACAGGTTAACCGACTCCTCAGAAGATCGCGGCTCGCACGGGTCTGTACAAAGAATCAGTAAAGGTGAACCCGAGGAGATCTGTAAGCTCGTTACCAGCAATGACTCAACACTCTTGACACTTGATAGGATGCCTAATATACAGGTACAGGAATTTATACATATATATTTATACACATATCAGAGCTTTACTATCTTATTTTTCTTATCTCCACTTTTATTCCATTTCAAACTCCCTTATTTTTATTATTAATTAATTATTATATACAGTAATCCTATGTACTTATAACACTTGGAGAATTCTAATTATTTTCCATGATTATTTAATTATTAAATAGCATGAATAGTTTATCGGTATTGTGTTATGTTATTGAGTTGGTGAACTTGACTTTTGGATAATAAATTTATTATTTTTATCATTACTGTCGTGTAGAAAACATCAAAATGGTTATGGGAATATGACGATATAGAAAGTATGAAGAAACAAATGATTTAGCAAATAATAATTAATATTAATGACATCTGCATGAGGGCATCTAGAAATCAGAACTTGGAACTTTCTACCAACTATTAGTGTCAATGGTCAATCTATCAAGCTATATATCTCATTTGTGACGGTTATCTCTTTAAGAAAAAACCATATATAACTGGGATTTTTATGAATTATGTTATCTTTTGATTAGAACAGCCATGGGAATTTTTCACTCAATAATTTTAGTTTTCTCAATAAATTATTGGGCCTATAAAATTTTAATTATTTAAATGTATTTTTTAGCTGAACTAATTTATTTATAATACAAAAAAAATATTTTAACGATAGAAAGTAGTTCAAGAAATAAATCTTCAAGTTGTTATGTAATTTTGCTCTCTAAAGGTGTCAATATGAGAATCGTATGCCTAACCTAATCAGATACTTTTAATTTATTTTTTTAGTCTCAGACTTTCGACCAATAGACAGGAATGAAAGAATTTTTAATAGGAAAATTAAAAATGGGTGATTTATATTAAAACAGTTATTGTTATCAGAAGATCTAGGATTATCAGACCTTTATTCTATTTCTCTATAGAAGATCGTTGCAAAAAATATTCTAGGGAAGATTTGCAGTAGAATCATGTTTATCAGAACAAAGATTACAATTTTATAGAAATTAATCAACGGTTTCTATCCACCCCCATATGGAATAAAATATAATTATTATATTGTTAAAATAAAATATATTAATATATAATAAAATATTTATTCCATATGGGCCCAATTATCTATGAAGCAAAGCACACATAAACAAACGTTGTTGATATTTATTTGAATTTATTTGAAAAAACTTATATTACATGAAATATATACGAGGTCTGATAAAAAACAGCTGATGCTAAATTCATCCAAAAATACTTCCAATTGTGGAATCAACATTGGAACGAATGTATCGATTAGCAAAGAAGAGTATCTTGAAAGAAATTTGATGTAAACTCATTATTTTGTTTACAATAATTTTTTTTACAGTATTTCTTGATCAGACCTCGTATTATAATATCCCAAATAGCAATGTTAGTGTGGCCCTTATGGGGTCCTAATTAGTAATCCTTATTCATCTTTAGACATACTCAACTAAACTTTCTAGTCAAGTTGTTTAAATGATTTAAAAAATAAAATTATCATGAAAATGAAGAAATGAAAAACAAAATGACCGATTTTTAAATAAAATGAATTTAAAAATCCTAGTGAATTAACTAAAAAAAAAAGAAAGGAGGAAATGAATGACTTTTTTGTTTACAATCAATTGGGTTTATTGATCTCATTGTTGTCGCAATTATTCGAACTTACCATATTGCTCGCGACAGTTAGGGGTTGCAATCCACCGTCGTCGTTGCGGCAGGGACGCAGCCTGCATATTAACAGCTCACGTAGGCCAAGATTCTTGAACGCGACTACTACCTGTCGCGTTCCAATCCCTGTAACGCAAACATCAGATACATTCTAAATTAATGAATTCCTTAAACACTTAAACTTTTGACACGAATCATCAAATAAAGCTTCAGAGACTAAATATAATTCCTTTTATTTTAACGATGACAACTCTCATGACTATTAAATGCGCTAGCTATTTATCGCAGCTCTCACGCATTGAAAAGATCCGCAGCACGAGAAAAAAAAAAAATAATAATGGACAATTTTTTTAGCTTTATTTTTTGTTTGAAATAAGAAATAAGAAAAAAGGGAACAACTCATCGTGACCTAGAGAAGATGTCGGCGGATTAAGTGGTCTATTAATTTTCTTTCTTCGCTTCCTATATGTATATATATATATACGTTCGTAAAACTACGCGGGATATGTGTGCTTGTGTGTAGGTATATTATAATTGAGTTGAGGCACGTAACCTCAGGTCGTTGAGGAGTGAAAAGAGTGTAGTGAGCTGTGAAGATTGCGAGAAGCTTCAGAAACGTGATGTATGCGACTTGACGCGTGACTCACAATCGAAAAGAAGAAAAAATAAAAGGACAAGTCGGTTTATTATTATAAAACGTAAGACAGAATACTATGATGCATGTTGGAGACATCAATATAATTCACAAGTAATATTTTTAGTCAACGTCCAGACTCATTAGTCATTTACTTGAGTCTTCATCATCATCATCATCATCAACGTTGTCATAAAAGTCTAGGGTAAATTCTTTCCTAAAACTTACCCTCTTTACATTGCTCTTTATTTTAAATGTTCTTCACTCACTTTTATCTTTGTCTTTGTCTTATTAATGGTAAGTAAAATGCTCTTGTCTGGCAGAGTTACATTTTTTTTTATCTCTGTGAACTTTTTTCACACGTCTTATGTACAATGTAAGGGTGTAATGACAGTTGAAGGTACGAAGAGTTTCAAGTGAGACACTTTTTTTTTTAAAGGGAATAAATTTTTTGTTATTAAAGGGATGTGATGGTGTTACATTAGTTTAATTATCAATTAGTTAAATGCACTTGAAGTGTTTCAATATAATGTCACTCACTTGATTAACATTGTAGTCACTTTTAATGCATTTAAATAACACTCCGATTTTCAGTGTTTATTTTATTTTTTAATTCTTAAAAATCTGGTCTAAATGTGACCTGCAAGGTCCACCCGAAATTAAAAAAGTAATTATTCATTTAAAAAATTTTGCATTCACTCTTTAGACATCTTGAAAAATAGTTTTGAGTTGATTAGAGACAATTTTCATTCGACATTAAACTTTGATGATATCCAATTAATTCTCTCTGTGGTAATCGAATTCTCTCAGCATTTTAAAGCTAATTTAGAGCGACTTGAACGTATTCGAGGATATAAATGTGAGGAAGAAAGTGTGGTAGCTACTTTAGAGTGGATTGTGGCAGAAAGTAATAAGGGGTGAGAAAAAAAAAGGGGAGCAGAGGAGTTGAGAGGGAGTTGTAGAGGAAAAAAATACCGAGGACGCGAGGCGTCGCGACGTTATTACACGGTTCATTAAGGACGCAAGCCTCGAGGCGATGTTGACTATACTCGTGGCTACAAACATCCATGACTAAAATGCGAGAATGAAAACCAAATGACGGAATGAGCGAGACGACCAACCCGATATTTCTGTGTCCGGTTTTTCGATGAATCCGGATAAAGTGCGAATATCTCGGAGATTTAATGAGACGTAGGGTTTATTTTACTGTAAAACAGAATGATTTTTTACCAATGGCAGAATTAATTATTCCAATAACAGTTATTTTTTAATTAATCAACTTATAACATAAATGAATATTTTTAAACATAATAATAAAAATAATACTAAAAATACCAATGACAAATTAATTAGTTTAAAAATGAATTAAGAATAATTATTTTTATTGCAACATTGTTTAAGATATTTGATAAATCTATTTTTAATAATAATTAAGAACTTTTTTTTTTTTATTTATATTCAACGGTAAAATATTTTTACGATGACCAAAGTCCCGTACGATGTTGAACATATGGAATCCATGTAATTGAATAATTTTTCAGATTAATTAACAAACCAATTTAATACAAATAAATCATTTTTTTTTAATATGCAAATGAAGCATTCATGCTTTTTACATATCATATTACAAAAAAATTAAAATTTAATTCCATTCTGGATTTTAGTTTACGTTTCAATTAATGATAAAAAAATCATTAAATAGTCATTTTGACAATTTTTATTTTCCATTAACAAAAATTCAAGTTGAATGCAAAAATAATATTGCAGCATTTAAATGCTAATTAATTTTTATTTATCAAATTATTTTTAATAATAATTATTTCTTAATTTTAGAAATAAATTGTTGATAATGTTAAGACCGATAATGAACTCGAATCAAAAATACGATTTGTTTTAAAAACTCTTTGAAGCTTTTCATGTATTTCTTTAGAATCAATAGCCATTAATCCTTGATTCAAGTGCAATTAAATTCAAGTAGATTGTACAAACATCATTATGTATATGTTAGTACAAACGTACATACAGATGTACTTATATTGTTATATAGAAATAGTGAAAGGATGAGATTTGAGCAAAGTTGGCGAAAAGTAAAGTATATTATCAAAGGGATGAGAGAGAGTTAGGGTGATTGGAGAGAAATGTTTTATACGTCTGCATTCTCTACGTTCAAATATTTACAACTCGTGTGCTAACAGGACGTAGCCATTGTTCCTCGGTGCTACTGTGTGTAAATTTAATCTCTTCTAGAAGACCCTGAAGAATAAGAGAGTGCGTAGGATGATATAATATTTATACTGATATAAAATATCTAAATTAAATCATTATTTAACTTATTTTTATTTTAAATTGTGAGCTTCAGATTAACTTTAATTAAGAGTTTATGATTAATTCCATTTTCATTAATTCTTTGCAAATAGTCAGATAAAATTTTTTATTCAAAGAAAAAAACCCAAAACAAAAAAAAAGGCTGAAAGAATAAATTTTTAAATAGAATATAATTTAAAATAATTATTTTAAAAATTAAAAAAAGATCGGTAGTTTTTTTTTTTAAAGAAAAAAACCTAGAAGACATTACCGATAAATAGTTAATTCCCTAAATACCCCAAAATATAATAGATGGCGCTCTTAGTACATTTTTCAACCCCAAATTCAAACCCTTAGGATCAAAAGACCAGTCAAAATTGTTTGCATATTAGAACACAACTCTCACTAGCAACCACCTCATGATGCTTCAGAGTAAGCAAACAAATTTCTAGAATGCAAACTAATGCTAATGCCGGATGGCCATGTGTCAGGATACCAACATTACTCGTCATAATCCGACACCATGTTCCTGAGTATATAATGCGACAAACCCTAGATATACCTTGTGTATATCTACCCAAGTAAATATGACACATAATATTCTCCGATTTTTTATCTCTCCTTTCTCTGCTCGTAAACATTTTCGCTCTTTTTTTATTTCACGTTTTACCTATTTAACTTTTTCTTTCACCGTCATTTTCTTTCTTTACTTTCTCGTCTTCTCTACAACTCGCCGCATGTTAACTGCACGTGCAGTTGAGTGTTTCATGGCTCAGCGATGGTGTTGCACTTCGACACACATGACAATTTTGCAAAATGTACACTTCCGAGAAAGTGTAACAGGAGATTTAGTAATCCTGACCCAGCGAAATTGTCTTCTTGGAGTCATTGGCTAATTTATAGGCGAGTTTGATCGTTAAGTAAAATTTTATCATTCAACAAATCATTGACAATTGCTTGGATTTTGATGAAAATGTGTTTTTTCCTTAATATACTGAAAGAATTATTTTTTTATTGCTGATAAAAAACTTTGATAAAAGATCAATTAATAAATCAATGGAATAATTATGGTTTGAATTTAAAATTCTTAATTAATAAAAAAATTTGACAAACTAAATAGACTTGTATTGAAAACACAGATCAGCGGATTCCAAAGTAGTATTTTCATTGATACATTTCAATTTATATTCATGGTACAAACTTTACATGGACTACATTTGTTTACTTTAATTGTTGTTCTACAAAATTTCACTACATCCAAAGAATCGCTCAGCATGTTGTCTATTGCTTCTAAACATCATAAGAGCAAAAGTAAAAAAAAATTCAAAATGATTTACAAGTAATTTCAAGAATTATTTTTTAAATATTCTTATGCTGTAAAATAAACATTTTTAAAATTATCTCTGCTATTTTTATCAGAGAAAGTGAATGATAAAATTAAAAATGAGATTAATTAGTTATAAAAACATATCACAAAAAAGTTTTATTCTTATAAATCATAATTTATTTTTTTTTTTTGTTCTATTATTACTGACTTACATATTCGAAACAAAAGAATAATCAAGTGGAAGAAAGTTAAAGGCCTTTAAAAAATTCTTGTATGAATTTAACGCCCCTCGTGAGAAGTCATTCCTCGCGCTAACACCGACGGCGAACTCGTCGTGCCGTACAGCGATAAACACGACAAGTTACGATTTCTCAGAGTCAGCATCCAAGCCATTACTTTGAGGTATATATAATGCGCGTAGGTGTCAGTCGATGATTATGCATGCAACTGAATATTTATTTTCCATTTATTTTTTCTATCAATGCATGAATTATATTACAATTATTGAGGTAATTAGTTTTTTCAACCTCAATTAATTGTTCTAAAACAACCTCGATGCCTACCAATATGTTAATTCTCTAATCATCATAAACTTATCAATCGTATTTCAATTAAATTTTTTTCTAAACACCAATTAATCACATATAACTATTCAAACAATTTTTTTCCACATAAATGCTTATCAGAAAATGCTTTAGAATAATTCGTAAAACAAATTGAGATTTAATTAAAGCATTTGAAGATAAAATTTTTAAATTATGCTGCTATGAATTCATATGTGATGAAGCTTAATTAAATCATTAAAACATATAATTATAGTAAAATTATTCAAAATGAATAACTGGATAACTTAAGTATCAT